GTCTGCTGCCCTCATCTCCAGGGCAGAAAACTACTCCATCCTCATGAGGGGAACAGGTCCTCTGCAACATTAGCACCTATCTACTGACCTACATGGTGTCACATCCCACCACCATGACAACTCAGGCAGCATCAATACGTTTATGGATTTCAGAAAGTAATGTGTTGCCTTGTGTTTGGATCTCTATGAAATAGCATATACTAAGCACTAAAATTAAATTTGCTTTTTCAAGTGAACATGTCCATACTGTGTTCCTCCGGAACAGTTTTTGATACTATTAAACCTGTAAAAATAAAAACATACACACCTTACACGAAATTATAACAAAATGAGCTCCATTACTAATATAAACAATTTCAGGTTGCATTTATACTGCAAATATACAGTTCAGTATAGTATGTACTATTGGAATACTGAACAAAACCAAAAAAATCCATGGCCTGTAGTCCGCAAGCGAACTATACCGACCGAGCAACAGCTGCTTGTCGGCGAAGTTAGCGCTAACTTTTGCAGATAGAGGGTGTCACGTGGTCAGCGCAATGAATCCCCATGGCTGTTAATCTCGGTTTTCTAGACTGGAGCCACTATTTCCTTTAAATAGCTCATCAATTATCCTCACTAGGCTGAGTGAACCCCGTTCCAGATCGAATACTTCTCAGAAAATCTGGTAGCGTCGGGAATCGAACCTGGGACCTCTGGATCTGTAGTCAGAAACTGTGACCACTAGACCACCTGTGAGGACATAATTTCATTCAATACCTGGGTTCTAGGAATATGCTCACTCATCCATCATGGGTGAGTTAACAGAGATATACAGGCAAGTAAATTTGAAGTACTACTGCTGGAACTTTGTCCCATACATGTATAAATATGACTCCTACTTAAAAGACTATGTTATGGAAGTGTGGAAAGAGCTCCAGTCTTGACATTGGTAACAGATGAAGGGACTGATCATTTTCAAAAACGTGCACCCAGAACCAATTGGAAAGTCCAGGTGAGACCCTGAACTGTTACACATGCAGTAGAGAAGAGAAGCTCTGGCCTAGCCATTGTGTAAGCAATCCATCAGTTTATTAACTCCATTATGTACGAATATTTACAGTGAAATCCCCATCTAAAATTATATTTGTGAGCAATGGATCTGAATATTAAACTGCACAAATTCTTAAATGGAGGAAATTTATCACTGAGACTGTTGACTTGGGATCAATGAAGCTGAACTTTAAATGATGGAAAATCTTAAAGTGAGGAATCCTGACTTGAGATTCTTCTGCATTTTATGATTTTGCATGGTACAGCCAGTCGTATTTTCCACTACATGTTAAGATGTTCCTAACTTTAAAATACCATTTCAAATACAAGCTCATACCTGACAATTAATGAAAAGTATGCCAAAAAATAATGCAGTGAAGTAGTGAAGTGACCTGCCTGCATTGTTCATAAGAGGAACTACATACAGCAAAACAAGCAGTTTCTCCAGGCATGATGAACTGTATGTGTCCAGACACTGCATTCTCTGATACACCAGACTCAAACCAGCATAGATTTAGTTCATTGCACGCTGAGTTGATGGCCATGCGGGCCTCAAAGTTGTCCACACAGCTGAGTACCAAGTCTACAGGTCCGCCTGAGAGGCTTCCATGGCTGCTAACATCAATTAAGAACAATAAATGATAACATAATATATTAGCACCTTCTGAATTCAAGAGTATCTGTGTGCTTGCAACAAAGCTGACTTAGGATAAATGGAATTTGATGAAATATGATACTACAGTCTTCACTAAAACTTGCTGACTAGTACCCCATCAGTTTATTAAGTAATCCTTTCCTTACTTTGACACCTAACTGTTACTGCCACAGACAGCTGCATCTGAGGTATAGCTTTTCATTCACTATCACATACACAGTGTGTCCAGGTTCTGTTAGCACTGTGTTCATTAAAAATACAAGACGTGAATTATTTTCAAAATTTCACTCTTTTCATTCGAAATAATCTCCTTCTGAATCAATACATGGCTGGAATCAATTGAAAAGTCTTCGAAAACAGTCACTGAACTCCTTTTGTGCAATCGCATTTAAAACTACGATATATTCTCTGGATGTTGCCGTGGTGGTCTCCTTTCATAGCCAACTTGACTTTTGGGAACAACCAGAAATCTGCTGGAGCAAAATCTGGCGAATATGGAGGATGATCAAGGACTGTGATCCCTTTTCTGACCAAAAAATCATGCACAACCTTCGATTTGTGGGGTGGGGCATTATCGCGGAGGAGCGACCAGGAACCTTGCTCTCGATATTCAGGTCGTATTCAAAGAATTCTCGCCCACAAACAATTGAGGACTCTGAGATAATAATCAGAATTCACTCTTTGACCTTCTGGCAGAAATTCCTTGTGAATGATTCCTTTGGAATCGAAGAAAACTGTCAGCAGTGTCTTTACTCGACTCTTTCGCATGCACACTTTCTTTGGTTTTGACTTCTTTGGGCTCAACCTTGCTGCACTCTGCCGCTTTGTGAGAAGCTCATATTGAAAACACCATGTCTCGTCACCAGTAACAATCGATTTTGTAAATTTTGTATCACTTTGGGCCAACCATAATATGTCTTTGCAGTGTTCCACTCTGGCGTATTTTTCATCGCCTGAGAGCGCGTGGTACAAACCATGCATAGACCTCTGTTTGCCCAAATCCTCACTCAAAATTTGATGCACAGTACTTTTTGGTATTCCCAAAAGCTCCTCAATGAGTCTTGCAGAAACACATCTGTCTGATGCAAGGATTTTGGTCACTTTTTTCACATTTTCTTCAGTGCGACTTGTTCTGGGTTTTGAGGCATGTGGAGCATCTTCAATGTCCTCACTGCCATCACAAAATATAGCATACCATCAAAAAATGTTCAAGTGACTCAAACAATCACTACTGTACACACTTTTTATCATTTCGTATGCTTCTCTGGCTGTTTTGGCTCTCTGTTCAACCGTCATTTTCCAACAAGTGTCAGAACAGTACTGTTACATTCAAGGTCAGAACACATGATGCAGCAACGCTTGCATTTTGAAATTATAAACAGCCACAGCTGAAACTTCATGACACTTAATGCCACAACTCGCCAACAGATGGCACTGCAGGACAAAATTTAAAAAAATGAGTCCTAACAGATCCTGGACACACCGTATATGGTGGTAATTATGTGTTGTCTGCCAGCATTGTCATCATCAGTCACCCGCATCCTTATCTTGCCTCATAATTTTATAACAGAAGATTCTGTACTTGTGTCATCTATGTATCGTAGGATGGCACACTGAAATACACTGGCAATTCAATGGCACTGCCATCTCTAAAAAGGGGAAAACTCATCTTCCATTCAGGAAAATATGATACTGATCTCTTCTGAAATCAGACCCTACGCGCAAAGCAAAGGCACTTGCTGGAAAATTCTTGAAGACCAAGAATTTCTTGAATTAAATCTAAATATACGATACTCAACCAGGCCTACTGATTATATAAAACTTAGGTATATCAGTGTGACTACAAAGCAGTATTATTCAGGAACAAAAGTGTTACAAATAAGTAAAGATAAAAAGTAACTTAATTAAGAATGAATCAAAATATAAAATGTTTGTTTTTATTCATTTATCAGTCTCATCCAGTAGCCTGGACATATCAAAGTGGTTTCTTTTAATTAGCACAAGCCCATACAACACATTCACAAACGTCAGCAAGCACTTCAAAGTTAGGCACAATGTTTGTATACCCACTCTTTACAATTGAGACACAAATGCACTGTTTCTCCTTCTGCTTCTGTTACAGCTTTCCCTTCCAAATGCAGTTTCTTCTTACATTCCTTTTCCTTATTGGCTGGCTGGCTGTTTGTTTGATTGTCTCGCTTGTTTATTCTCCAACTCATTCTGTTCATTCTCCAACTCATTCCTCACTGGGCTCATGGTAAGAATTTTACTTCTAGCACTGTGTATTTTTCTTGCGGTTAGACTGTGCTGGCTGCCTTCAGAAAGTTGTGACACTTTCTTCATGACTTTTGCACGTTGCTGCCCACCACTTACTGACAAGATACAAATGTAAGTGACTCCCCTGTCAGAGTAGGCAGTTTCAAAGCTTTCAGGTTGGGTATGTCCATCACTTGAGAATACAAATGCCAATATACTGCAAAATGTTTGCACTGAGCATACTGTTCTACTGATGTAATAAATCCCCAATCATATAACATTCATACCAGATGCAACCTTTAAATTCCTGACTTTTCAACGTCTGGTATGGTGAGCTGGATGATGTTTATTTAAATGCCCACTGTTGTTGGGTTTTCAAATGTCCCTTGCTGTTTGGAATTTTTAATTCTTTTAACTGTTTAATTAAAAATGCTGTATCTAATACATTTTTTATGATAAAGTAATGGAATTAACCTTGTTTATATCAGCAAACAACATAATATCACATATTGTAACATAAGATTTGAAAATGTTCAGCCAAAAAAAAGTTAGTTTTTTCTTTCTTTTTCTTTTTTATAAGAGTGTTACCCATTTCTTCACAAAGTGATTCTGCATTATAAAACCATTCCTTCTTGTAACACTTGACATACTTCCCCTGTCTCTGGTNCCAGTGATTGAGGCTAGCTCTTTCTAACGGACCCAACTGAATAGGTGTTTTCCTTCACCTGAGGACGGAAACAGATCCAGTTTCCGAAACGTCGTGTTTTTATTTGTTATCTTAAAAACCAGGACGATGGATAAAGTCCAAAAACCCAACATATCAGTGCACTAAAACCTTGTTTTATTATTTTGTTTGTAAGATTCACATTTTTGCTACACTCTTCAGTTATTCCACTCTGTTGACTACAGGGATAAAAATATGTCCCTTTCTGTGGTCACAACCAAACACTTGCATCATAGCTGAGATATAGTGTACACTTAGTTTTCCGTGAGCTCATAAGGAATAATTTGAATATCATAGTGTCATTTCATCATACCATTGCAATGAAACATCGTTTAGAAAATGGTGAAATTAAAGGCAGCCAAAGTACAAGAAATGTGACATGGGACTATGCATTTCTGGGTGCCTTGAGGAGTTCAATACAAAGGCATGACTCAGTTAGATGACGAAGGGTGTTAGGGGTGAAGCCTATGTATACAATCAAGCAGATACCAACAACAAAATGTACATACATTCAATTTTTCTATATTTAGAAATTATTTAGAATTGTATGTGCGCTTCTATTAATGGCCTTTAAATGCCAGAATGCACGAATATGTGTTCTTTGGTCATGACTACTGCACCTTTCAGTGTACCGATACGTACATCTCACATGTTAAAGTTTAATGAAATTGGTCAATTGGTTTAAAAGTTAAAAGGAGGGGGCAGGCACATATGCATAAGATTTCATAATCCCACTTCTTTCTTAAGAGAAGGAAAGAAGTCTAAAAATGATATTCACATTTTCACAAAGAATAAATGAGATCTCTGCAGGAAGGAAGGTCTTAATTTAAGGGCCAAGAGATTGTTTAAGTGAAATGTTCTGCATACAACCAAAGAGGTATTACTCTATGTGCCTAATGGAACAATTTAAAAACATGTAACTTGTAGAAGTTATTGCCGTGGCATCATCACTGACCTGATTCCATTAATGAAGTCCTGGAAATTGTCTACTGTAGTTATATTATAGTTATATGTCTCCACTGTGACATCAGGATTAATGAAAGTGAGAGTATTTGCTGCAGCCTCTACCTTAGATAAACCTGCCTGGTGTGGCTGGAAAAACAGCCTATTCATGTTGGCAAGTTCCACCTTATCATAGTCAAACAGCAGTAGCTGTAACAGAACAAATTATTCTCCAATCACTTTCATGAACTTGTTCACCATATTATATAACACGAAATTACAGTACAACCTCCTTATAATCGAATCCCAGGGAACATGAATAATTTTCTATAACAGATAGGTTTCTGTTCAATTCTATAGTGAGCCAGAAGTCCCTGTGCGTCTACTGCAGAGGAGGAGTACATTTGGAGAGTCTAAGCATCTAAGACATATATACCTCCGAAATGTCATCTGAATTTCAACAGACTACACAGCATTATGTCCCAGAAGATATAACTCTTTCTAATAAACTCATACCTTCAAGGGAGTTTATGGTCTCCCAACAAGGAATCAGGAGGCAAACAATTTTTGTTACATTACTAACACAGGAGCTACATTAATGTAAAGGTTGCTGCTTCTTGGTCTATATCCTGAACTAGCTACTCCTGTATACTGCTATGCCCAGGTAGTAACTTCCCTGTCAGCTTTCTCCTTATTCTTGCAAAAAGCCTCCTTTTGCAATTTCTTCAGGGGTTTATGAATTACAATCTTGATGGAACCCACCCACACAAGACTGAAGGCACATTTAGGATATCTAAGGTTCTCACAGCGGTGTTTATGAAGGACTGTAGCAGCTCCAGAAAAAAACGAGAGAGGGCGGGAACAAAACATAACCTGACATTAGGTAAAATACATAACTCCCAAGCACTCCTTTAATCTCGTACAAAGACTGAAAGAATGAAGATTTACTTGAAGATTTTTTCAGTAAATACCAAAAGAAGGAAGATAAAGATGGAGGAGTAATGTATCTAGACAGGAACACCAATTACAAACACACTATACTGGAAACACATCAATGGAGCACAAACAGGTTCTGAAAAATATTAGCACATGGTAAATACCAGCATGGAATATGAACATTTACTTAATTAATAATTCAACGTTAGCATATTTTTTTCTCTACCTCAAATGCATTTGTTTTTCATAGCATATGGTGAATGTACAGTCAACCCTAAGCTTAATTACACATAATGAAAACATGTGGATGGCTAGAGGTATAGATCCACACATTCTTAACCTTGGTACTGGGAAGTGACTGGTTTGCTTTTTGCCTGAAGAAAGAACCCCTAATATCATAGGAGGCTTGGTGGGCCACAAAGCTGACTGGTCTGCATGTTGTGGGAATCAAACCCTGATTCCTTGGTCATCCAACCTGTAGCCTAATCTCTTTATTGATTTAGCTTAAGTTGGGGAGGGAAGACAAGAGAGAGAGATATTTATTTATTTTGTCTCTATAGATCATTGTTACACGATATAGGACAAGATAAGGGGGGAGCAGTGATGGGAGAGGAGAAGAGTGGCCTCTACTGGCTCATGTTTCACAAGTTAACTATACTTACATTTGTGAAGAAACCTAGGTAATTTAAAATTAATTTTTCCCCCAGCAAATATGATACTTTCCTCTGTTCATGCAGCACCTGAAGGTTATCCTGTTAGTTTACTAACCTTGCCTATACCACAACGAGTCAGCATCTCTGCAGTAACACTGCCAACACCACCAATTCCAACTACAGCCACAGTGAAATCTCGTATCTTCTCATAGTTGTCTACAATACCCATTCTTTTCAAAGCCATCAATCGACTATAAGAATAAAATCAGACTCTGTTGGACACAAGACACAGATACAAATATATGACTGAACCTACATAAACCAATGCATTATCCTCAGGAAGCTCTGTCGACCTGGGTGGTCTCAATAGTTTGTTTAATAAGATGGCTGAAAACCGAAGCAAGTTATGTTAACTCACAAAATTTATGACCACAAATTTTCTCTTTTACACTACAGGGCAACTTTCCAGATCAAACCATTCTTTATGGTGGAAGGTACATGGTATTACTAGTTCATATTAAGGTGTCGAAGGGATCTGCCACAACTTACACATTCTCACAGTGACCATACTCAATTTATGAAGTAAATTTTAAACTCTTAATCTGAAGCTGAATTTCGATGACCTCCGGCTGTTGCTAATAGGTTTTACAACACTATACGGAAAGTTCAAGGGGCGATTACACTTTGTGTAGCACAGCAAAATCATAACACAATGTGCCACAGTGTGGCTTTATTGAGCACAGGCAAAACAAAATTCCAACTGGTAATTTCTTCGTCCATACCTGTAAGGATTGGAGTCCACAACCTCAGAAGACATTTGCAAAATTTTCTCTCTAACAGGATGAGCAGGTTCTTGTTTTTGTTTTTCGAGTAACAGCTGTTTCAACTCCAATTTTTTCGTCGATTCCATTCTGTGTTATTCACAAGGAAAATTCACGTGAAACACCTGTCAACACCAAACACGTCCCATATGCTCCGCGTTAGACACGACCGAACACGACGTCAAACCTGGTCAAAACGTATTCGTCGCTTTTCGTCGAACACATCACTGCTTATCGCGCTACTGGTTGGCACAGTGATGGAAGGTGTTATGCTGCCATCTATCCGCAGATTCTCAGAACTATTACAAAACGGTTACGGCCACTCCCACGAGCTGAATAAAGATGACTTATCACGAAACTCTCCCCCC